CCACCACCACCACCACCATCACCATCATCACCATCACCACCACCATCTAATTAATATGACTCTTGTAGCTGGACACTGTTGAGGAGTGTTACAATAACTTTGAGGTCTGTGTGGCAAGTCCGAGTTGAGCCTTCTTCCTCTGGGTGCTGAGAGCTGTTTTCTTGGCCTAACTTATTTGTGGAAGGACAGAGTGCTGTGTGGTGTGTCCTGGTTGTGATTGCAGATCCATAGACTAATTCTTCCATTAAGCTTTGTGCTTCACATTCCCTGACTCGAACAAGATGAAGAATTGTTTTTGTGAACTTGTAGATGGGGAGACACAGAAGTTCTCAGAGCTAGTGTGCTGCTCTTCTCTGCTGACCCAGTCTGCCCTGTGGAACTTCCCCCACAAACCTAGACAGAGGCCTCGTGAAGATCCCACTTGTACCATCTAGAGTCAGAAATTTATTTACCCTATTAGACACTTAAAGAAATCTCTTGCAGGAGCAAAATCCATAGTGAGTAGATACTCACTGGTTTTTCTAAAGCTAAAAAAAAGTATGTGTGACAAAAGTTGTCTAAAAATAGAAAGATTCTGTTTAGGAGAGTCTCTCTTACAGGCTTATTTCATTCACGATAGCAATCAGTCATGATGGTGCATGCCTATAATCCTAGCTCTGGGGAGGCTGAGACAGGGGGATTAGGAGGTCCAGGCCAAGGCTAAGCTACAGAGTGAGACCTTGTTTTGAAATAATTAATTGTTGTGGCCACTGAATGCTTATTTTCTCTCTTAAAGACTCACAGAATTTCATGACCACTTCTGAGACTAACAGTGTTGCTCTCTACAGAGGAGGGATCGAAGATGGTGTGGCATGCCTGGAAAACCTCCAGTAGCTACTTTAGTGAGGAAGTCGCTGCTATTTCTTACAGAGTTTCTGTCCTGTTTTTCTCTCCAGCTATGGAGTACTGCTTTGGGAACTGTTGACTGGTGAGGTGCCCTTCCGGGGCATTGATGGCTTAGCAGTGGCTTATGGTGTGGCTATGAACAAACTCGCCCTTCCTATCCCTTCTACGTGTCCAGAGCCTTTTGCCAAACTCATGGAAGGTAAGTAACTCCTGACCGGAGAAAAGCTGGTGGCTATTAACCTTTACACAGTGCTTGGAAGACATTTCCCAATGTCATGAGATCTGCTGCAGGAAAAGGAGATGAAGGATTAGCCACCCAGGGGGAAGAGTTGGGAGAGCTGTTTCTAGACAGTGGCCACACCCTGCTAAAGCAGGTTCCTTTCTGCAGTGACTATAGAAATTTGTAAATAAACCTGCTATCTTGCATTCCAGAATCATATTATGTAATATAAAATAGGCTATAGTAGTAATTCTTCCTAGAGTATCTTGTGTGTAGAACTGAAGGTTGTCTGGAAAGAAAGGGACTCTGAGGTCACTGAGTCAAAAACATGATTTTGTGAGAAATGCAAAACTAGGCAAAGTGAAGAGGGAAAGTGCCTACTGTGTGGTGGCAGCTGGTAGGCTCACTCCTCCTGATTCATCCTGATGTTCTCTTTGCCTTCTCCCATTGAGCTGTGGGGATGGTAGCTTGTGTGTGTGTAGGAATTTGGGGCACAGTCACCCATGGTCTTCTTGAACTGTATGTACGTTGTTGTAAGCTGACTGCAGTGGCAATCTTCGTTTTTTTTTTTTTTTGCTTTCCTTGCACATGCTGAACAGTGTTCAGGACAGTGTCTGACTTCTAGTTTCCTCTCTTTATGTTATGACAGTGGAGAGTCTGCTTTCCTACTGGGGGTTCCCTAAATTCAGGGCTCTATTTTCTAGAAGGAGAAATTGAGGCTATTTTCTGGTGAGGGAGGCATGCAGTATCACGAGGCTTCCGTTCCCCTCTGGCCGCTCACACGTCTTCTTTCTTCTCATATCCCATTCAGACTGCTGGAATCCTGACCCCCACTCACGCCCATCTTTCACGAGTATCCTGGATCAGCTAACGACTATAGAAGAGTCCGGTTTCTTTGAGATGCCCAAGGACTCCTTCCACTGCCTGCAGGACGACTGGAAACATGAGATTCAGGAGATGTTTGACCAACTCAGGGCCAAAGAAAAGGTAGCGAGGAGGGGATAGCAGGTCTTGTCTTAGCAGAGATGCTTCACTAAGGCATCTGGACTCAGGGTGCCAGTCACTGACACCAGTACCACCTTCCTGCCATCTGCTTGATTGTCCACACCACAGGATAGGAGCCTGGGACTGGCATTTTCGTGACTGTGGAAAGCGTTCTAAGCTCAAATCATCTGGGGATTTCAGCAGCTCTTGGCTTGCTGGAGTCTACTTTTATGACCCTAGCAATCAGTGACCACACAAATGTAACCAATTATGTACAATTTTATGCCCTGTGATGTCTGGGTAGGGCCAAATCTGGGGGCCTGAGAGATGGTCATATAGTCTTGGTTAGTTTCTTTTTTCTGTTCTCACTCTGTACTATAGAAATTTGGGGAGTTAATAGTAACATAATAGCCAGGCTTGGTGGCACATGCCTATAATCTCAACCCTCAGGAGGCTGAGGAAGGAGGGTTGCAAGTTTGAGACCAGGGCTTATAGCTTTATAAGTGAGTTCAAGAGTAGCCTGGGCTATAGTGTGAAGCCCTGTCTCAAAGGGTTAAATGAATAAGTAATTATCAATGTGATAATAATAAAATCTAAAACTGCATATGATTCATTGCTGCTGTTTGTTTCCACTTGAAAAGTGTACTGAAACCTTTGCTCCTGTTAGTATGACAGCACATAGCCGGGCGGTGGTGGCGCACGCCTTTAATCCCAGCACTTGGGAGGCAGAGGCAGGCAAATTGCTGAGTTCGAGGCCAGCCTGGTCTACAGAGTGAGTTCCAGGACAACCAGGGCTACACTGAGAAACCTTGTCTCCAAAACAAAACAAAACAAAAACAAACAGACAGACAGACAGACAGCACTTGGGGCCTGCAATTGTCCCCATCTTGAAGCTGAGGGCCAGGGCCGTCCACCTTCATGGAGCTAGGAAGAGGGGCCCGTGAGTCTGAGCCTTTGAGTCTAAGCCCTTTCTGCAATGCCTTTGTTGTCCCCTACACAAATGGTTTAAAAATAATTTCTGAATCTAATTAAGAGAGATTAGTCTCCTTTGGAGCCCAGTGATCCTAAGCTGTTGGGAGGTCATTGACATGCTGTAGTGGCTGGGGTGGCAGGGCGGGGAGGCGGACAGTGGGAGACTCTCTAGGGGTCTGTCTGGGACAGCCATTGACAGCATCCTATCACGGCTACTCTTCTAGCTAGGAGGACTTCCACTGTGGCTGGCTTTTGTAAAGTCACCAGCTCCCGGCCACCTTCCTTTACAGTCATAATGTAATTTATAAATTACACAAGCCATAGGAAAAATGAGAATTGGATCTTGTCGATAAGTAGTTATAGTAAGCCCCTCTCCTTTATAGTCTTGCTTTCTGTGGCTTGACTTAACCACTGTCAACCACAGTCTGAAAATATTAAATGGAACATGGAAGAAATGAACAGTTTTGTGTTTGAAAGTGCATGCTGTAAGCATCATGAGACAGTCTTGCTCTGTCCTTCCTGGGGTCAGTCGTCTTCCTCACACTTGCACACTATCACACAGTGTTTCTCGCCGGCTATTGTGATAAGGCAGCTCTGTGTTTAGGTGACGTTATTTTATTTAATGAATGTTCCAAAGGACAAGAGTAGTGATGCCGGTGACTTTAGCGTAATATATTATTATACTATATATATCAATATACTGTAATTACTCTCTTACAATGCCTAACTTATAGATTAACTTTTATGATGGAGGTATTTTAGATGTAGGTATTTCACATAATACATGAGAGTTCAGAGGGATCCATGGTTTCAAACATTCCCTGTTGGTCTTGGACATACTCCCCACGGATAAGGAGGCTCTAGAGTTCTAGGAAGAGTCAGCCCGTGTCTCCGGGCTTGCTCTGTGACATTAGCCTCTCTAGTACTCACAGTATGGTTGTGCTACGCTTTCCTTTCACCCAGTGCTGGACATCTTCTCTCTCTCTCCTGTGCACCACAGCAGAGCTCTCCAGGTTGTCTCCTTTCTGCACCGAGACCCACCCTTCTCTCTACTGCCTCCCTGTCTGTAGGAGCTCCGAACCTGGGAGGAGGAGCTGACACGGGCTGCGCTCCAGCAGAAGAACCAGGAGGAGCTGCTTCGGCGTAGGGAGCAGGAGCTGGCTGAGCGAGAGATCGACATCCTGGAGCGAGAGCTCAATATCATTATCCACCAGCTGTGCCAGGAAAAGCCCAGGGTGAAGAAACGCAAGGGCAAGTTCCGGAAGAGCCGACTGAGGCTCAAGGATGGCAACCGCATCAGCCTCCCCTCCGGTCAGTGGCAGAGAGAAAGACCAGGAGCTGGTGTGGCAGGGGTTTGTGGGCGTTAGACTGTGCTTGAAAACACAGACCATGGCTCCTAAAGTAAAGCCTGTTGGGATGGGCCATCTTGCTCAGTGGATGACAGGCTTTCTGGGGAACTGTTGATTGGAGAAGAAGGTGTACCATTGGGGTGAAGGGATTCTCAGGTGTTCCTAGGTGAGAAATCTTAATCCTGAAAAGAAGTTTGTCTCAAGTTTCTTTTCACAGTTTTCAGTGTATTTTATATTAGGTTAATAAGTAAACATTCCGGTTATAAAATTTACATAGAGCCTCTCAGAAGCACATTGACTCCATAAAGGTATATCCTCAGTACTGTCACCTGGGGGAAATGTAAAGAAATAAGAAACTGTGAGTTAGAACCCTGGTGGAGTGTGATGTGCCCAAGTGGTATACACATGAGTATTTCTATAGATAAAAAATTGTTTGTGTTCTAAATCTATAAGACCTTGGGAAGCAAGCTTATTAGAATGTAAGGAAATAGAGAATGAGGTGGTCAGAGTGGCTGTGGGGGATCTTTAAGCCTTGGAATGATGGCTTAGGCACCAACCAGGGAATTAAGTCATGGAGTCGAGAGAATGTGCTCATGGGCATGTGCTCCGCTGCCCCGTCCCGTGTGATTTGGTTGGGGTTTGTTTGTTTGCCTTGTTTATCAGGTAGTATGCTATCTGTAGTACATGAGGAGCACCTAGCTGCACCAGGACACTGCTGTGCACCAGCAATAGACGAGGAGCTCTGGTCCCGACTGCAGGGAGAGGTTAGTGCAGTAGGGAGCCCTCGGTACCTCTGACAGAGGAAGAGGAGGCTGAAACTCAGAACTGAGGAGCTGAACATTTCACATTCTTCATGCTGTATCCGAACTACCTTTAGGGCGTGTAAGAGGTGGGGTCACTTCCCCATTTCCGTTGAATCCTCGTGTTTCTGTCATGACCTGATTCTTGATACTCTGCTCCACCTGCAATTAAGAGGCGCGCCAGACACTCTTTATTTGGTACCAAAAAGGACACACATGGTGACAGATCACCTGAGGTGTGATTTCAAGTGACATTCCCTAGAGTAATCCACACAGTGACATGCACTAGAAAGCAGCTCTCGGGCTGTGATTATACTACCTGTGTCCATGACATAGAGAGCTTTATGAAGACCGCTGTCTGTGCGTTCATCTTGTCGTGTGTCCCTTTCGGGGAAAGAGGTAGCTCTGAAAGGAAATGAAGCTTTTCAGGAGATGGAGGCCTGTCCCTCGTTTCTGAAATGAATTTGACTGTGTGGTAACCCTGACACACACATGTTTGTCTCTCCCCAAGCAGATTTCCAGCACAAGTTCACGGTGCAGGCCTCCCCAACCATGGATAAAAGGAAGAGTCTGATCAGCAACCGATCAAGTCCTCCTGCAAGCCCCACCATCATCCCTCGCCTTCGAGCCATCCAGTGTGAGACAGTTTCCAAAACTGAAGCCAGACATACCAGGGACACTTGTCCCCTGCTCTGCTCAGCCATTGACTAATCCAGGCTTGTTACAGCTGTAACTTCTGCCACCTTCCCCAACAATGTGTACACACGTGCATGTACACTTGCAGACCTCAGCCTTCCTATGCCCTGTCCCACTGTTCACTTCTGTGCTGTCTCCTCCACCTTTAACACGTGGTTGATATCAGCACAGCGGGTTGTGAATATGGGAAACTCTTTAGGGAATTGCAAAGCAATTTGGAAACTGGAGTGACAGAGATACAGATTGGTGTCCACCTAAGGATCTCCATATTGTCTGCCGTACTGGGCACCATTGCTTTTCTTCCATCTGTACTTCTCAAGCTGAGGCTTTCCAAGGCCTGGGTCTTGAGAAAACTCATCAAAGCTTTAGTGTAGGCCAAACCTGGACTAGTTTTATTTTTACTATAGTAATTGCTTTAAATATGTGTGTGTGTGTATGTATGTATGTGTATATGCGTGTACATGTGTGTACATGTCTACATATGTGTACATGTGTGTCTGCATGTGCTTGTGTGTGTGTGTGTGTGTGTGTGTGTGTGTGGTATTTCTACAGTTTTTGGAGATACTTACCTTACTCAACCTTTGTTATTCACAGTGACGCCAGGTGAAAGTAGTAAAACCTGGGGCCGGAGCTCAGTTGTTCCAAAAGAGGAAGGGGAGGAAGAGGAGAAGAGGGCCCCAAAGAAGAAGGGCCGGACATGGGGACCAGGAACACTTGGGCAGAAAGAGCTCACGTCAGGAGATGAAGGGTAAGAGGCACATGATGTGAATGTCTCTCTCACTCACAGACCTGCACAACATTTTAAAATATGATAGGAAATACTTTTGTTTCTCTCATTTACTTTAATATGTTTGGAAAAATATACAGGTTCTGTTTTATTTTCTAAGACAGGCTAGCCCAAACTCTGTTCAAGCTCTCTATCCTCCTGCCTCCACCTCCTGAGTGCTGGAATAACAGATGTACACTACTGCCTCTAAGTTCTTCTTGACCTTTCTAGAGAGTTGTCCAGTCTCCTAGATCCTGTATTTTCTTGTAGGGCAAGAATTGTCAAGTTCTTTCTATGAAAGGCCAGATAACACTTTAGGTTTCTGAGTCTTCATGGTGACAGAGAAATATAAAAACTGCCCCAGACTCTGAGAGATACATAAGTGAATGAGCCCATGTGGCTGTGTTCCACTCAGACCTCAAAAAGACAAGTGGCAGGCGGGATTGGACTCAGTCCCCTGCAGGTGTTCTCAAAGCAGCAAATAGCGCAAAGAGGATGGGATGCAGGAAGCTGGGCTGAGTGGGCTAAGAGCTGAGTCTTCCCATAAGACATCTGATCAGAGGAAAGGGAGGAAGAGCAGGATCCCTGGCGCTGCCCTGGCATTCCTGTGCCCCATTGGACTGCCTTGCTACTCTCCCACTAACCACACGTTAGTGCCCTTCTAGGCAGAGGGTGTTGGTGACTTAGGTGTGTGTGCAGCGTCCTCACTTGTAGGCTGGAGTCCTGGGAGGCAAATTCTTTGCATCTCCGTTTTATATAGACCAGGCCCCCTGATTTTGCAGAGAGGGTCTCGGGCAGGGACTGAGCTTTACAGGTAGCTATGGAGCTCACGTTTGCTCAGCTACAAAGTGGGCATAAGACGAGTACCAGCTGAAGGGTTGGCTGAGTTCCTCTTTGTGAATTTGTCAGTTAGCTGGCTCATGGTGAACACACATAGTTATCAGCTGGATGATGGTTCTCTGCCTTCCATGTCATCTACTAATACTGGAAGTATATATGGTTTGTGTTTCATCTAGAGTCCTTCCTGTTCTTCTGAGTGTGAGGATAGCAATCCCAGCACCATTTTCAGTGGCTTCCCATTGCTCACTGAGTGGGGCCTCCAAACTTGTCAAACTGCCTTTGGTAATTTTTAAAGGACTAACATTTGATGTTCAAAGTCTCCACTCTTCGTGTCTGAGCTCAAGGGAAAAAAATAACGATCAGATTTATTTTAAAAAATGGATGTATACTAACTGTCAAGTAAGGCTTTGAAATCACAAGTTTCTTTAAATAGAAAATGAACACTCGTAGGACAAGCTGTTTGCCCTGTGAGTGCAGCACTTCTGTCCTTCATGGTCACAAACCTACAGAGCTTAGGAGAGTAGAGGGGTAAGAACCCTGCAGCCTGTCCCTCATGGCCTGGCTCTGATGAACCCAGTTACCCTGAATCACTGGCTACCTCTGACATTAGTATAAATTCTAGGGTTACCCAGGCTAGCTGTGGTTTCTGCTAATTAGATGTTTAACTACATTTTCAGTGAGTCTGCACAGTAATGGTTTCATTGCGGCACTCACAATATAAATCATTGTAGTCTCCCTCCCTCCCTCCCTCCCTCCCTCCCTCCCTCTTCTCCCTTCCCTCATGACCTCTTCCTGTAGGTCCTTCCTCTCCTCAAAGAGGATTCTAGGGATTTTGCTGCTTCCGCTTCACTTAAAGGTTTTTGTTTGTTTGTTTTGGTTTTGTCTTGATAGTAAATTAAGCTTCTTCTTGCACTACAGAATGTTAACTTTGTACTTTTCTTCCTTCTTACGTAGATCTGTCCTTGCAGACTTTTGAGACAATTCAGAAGCACATGCCTTGGTTTTTCATTATTCTCAATTCTCACTGAAGAAATGAAAGTGTTTTCTAACAAGCTTGAGTCCAGTTGTCTTTGATGTCAGAAATGTTAGAGATCTCTCCATGATATTACTAATTTTAGTGCCTGTTGACTGAAGAAAATTTATAATGGCCAACCCCTTGAATTCAGTAAAATGAATTCCCTCCTCTCCCACTCACCTAACAGCCATGTCTGCAGGAAACAGCAGCTCACTGTTGGCAGCTTGGGTGTTTTTAACTCACAGCCCTTTGCAGTCACTCTCAGCTGTCCAGGGACCTTTGTCCCTTACATTGGAAGGGCCTAGGCCTGAAACAGCTGCAACATGGCCATCTTTTCCCCGGGTGGGTTTGCTGATTGGATAGGCAGAGCACAGCTGGCCGCCTCGCTGGTCCAGCCTGGGCACTTTGAATATGGGAGAGGGTGAGCTAGCTGTGGTCTCTACTAGATATTGCTGATTCTCTTTATTCATTGAAGATCCCCCCAGAGACGGGAAAAAGCTAATGGTTTAAGTACCCCATCAGAGTCTCCACACTTCCACTTGGGGTGAGTCTGGTCTCCACCCATCCACAGCTGAATTGGTAGCAACTGCCCTTCCATTTCCCTGTTCTCATTCCTCATCGCTGCAAGTGACAAGCTATTTTTTTTTAAGAGCAGTGCACCTTGGGAAAATTGCTTGATTGACCACCCCAGTTGCTGGGCTGCTCCTTGAACATTGTGCCTAGGGAAGGCCTTGTGTTGTGCATCCTTGAACACTGGCTTTGATTCACTAATGTGGGCTTCCTCAGGCCCAGTACTAGAGGAACTACCACATCAGTGCAGTGGGAAGTCCCAGGCTGTGGTGGTGGTGGCTTCTCTCCAGCTCTGGGTTTTGTGCTTCAGTTCACCAGTGTTTCTGCCCACACAGTTCTGAGGCCTAGGAGAAAGTTGAGCCTTCTCTCTCCCTCTGGTGGCTTCAGACCCCCAGAGAGTAGGCTTTAGGTGTATGGGTATTTAGCATTAAATGTCAAGAGTCACCTCTGGCTGATGTGCTAGGTCTTCAGTGCTCCCCCTACGGCCCTCTAGGGGAAGACCAGTGCTTCCAGACCGCAGATCCCTTTGTAAGGAAACTGAGGGGGGTCCATTCTATCTCTGGAGAGTGGCTAGGTTTGCCAGATGAGCTGATGACAGGGAGTTGAAATCAAGCCACTGTCTTTTGTCTCCATGCCCAGACAAACTGAGGCTTGAGTACCACATAATGTTTCCCCCATAGAGGTCTGTCCCACGTGCACTGGGTGGGTGCAGCTTTCTTGCTTGATTTTTTTTTTTTTCCTTTTGAAGAGTGAATGGCTTTGGAAGCTTAAGCATGCGAGATAGAAGCTTGGAAGGAGAAGCTGAGAAACATTATGAGTGGAGTGGCCGGGGCCATTTCTGCTGGTTCATCTGCCCCATGCTTGTCTTGCACTGCAGGTGTTTGCATTGAAATACTTGTGATATTCTGAGTGTGTTGTGTTTGGTTCCTATGGGGTGATTGCCTCTCCCTTGAGAATGGCTCAGACAAGACCTTCCACAAGCTCAGCCCTTCCTCTTTTTGTCTGCTTGCCCACCCGCTCACTCGCTCCTTCCATGACTCCATAGCATGTGAGGGGCTGGGTTAAACCACCGCTTTCCCTCTCCTAGAGCATGTGCACTTGTTTGTGGACTAGGAGAGCTCAGGAAGAGTTGTCTGACCCCTGAGACTTTCAGTGTGATTAAGTAACAGACACTGTCTGAATACCCATGGAGGCCATAAGGGAAACAGCCAGTGTTGACAGGTCTCCTCCTCCCTCCTTCAGCCTCAAGTCCCTGGTAGATGGATACAAGCAGTGGTCATCCAGTGCCCCCAACCTGGGGAAGGGCCCGAGGAGTAGTCCCGCCCTGCCTGGGTTCACCAGCCTTATGGAGATAGGTAAGTAGAGCATCTGTCTGGGTTTTCTCCTGGTTTCCTTAGAGATGTCTTGGCTAGACTTCCAGAATTGTTTAAGGAGTCCTAGTACTATTATCCATAGGGTTTGTCTCATTTTTGTCCTCTGCTCTGTCTTCTCCATTTTATCATGGTTTCCTAAACCCCAGTTTCCATGTACTGTAGCCATGGAACCTGTTTTTTGCCTCCGGCGTCAAGAGTCAGGACTTGATCCAGACACGTTCCCCTTTTCTAGCCTTTCGAATGGTCCTCTGGCTCCTGAGTGGTGGCTGAGCTCTCTAGATGCTTTTCTTTGTATTTTCAAGTCATAATAGACCCATCAACAGAACAGATTGGCCTTCAAACATGTAGAGGATTCTGATTTCTTGTGAAGACCAACCTTAAGACGTTTTGCTAAGAATCATGCTAGAAACCCAAAGCCTTTCTAGTCTTAAGGTACAAAAATATAGAAATGGTTCTAGGAGCCCGTTCTGCATGTTCTTGTAAGCGTCCCTATTGAGCTGAAGGCATTGCCCAGTGGCAGCACCCTTGCCTAGCAGCTGTGAGGTCTGCACAGCGTTTTACACACACTCTGCAGCGTCCCTAAGAGGGAGGCAGCAAATGAGCTGATACTCTCTTGAACAAGTAGAGAAATGGACTCTGGAATGCAGGTGAATTCCCATGTTGGCCTCAGGTGAGTGGACAGAAAACGGGCCCCGTGGGCTCAGCGCCCGTTTCATGTCCTGCTCTTCTGACACTGAGCTGGGGCAGGACCAGACTCTTCACTCTGTTTTCTCTGCCATTTCTCTTGTTTGCACAGAGGATGAAGATAGTGAAGGCCCAGGAAGTGGAGAGAATCATCTACAGCATTCACCCAACCAGTCCTACCTCTGTATCCCATTTCCTCGTGGAGAGGATGGGGATGGCCCCTCCAGTGATGGAGTTCATGAGGATCCCACCCCAGTCAACTCAGCTACCAGTACCCCTCAGCTGACGCCAACCAACAGCCTCAAGCGCAGTGGGACCCACCACCGGCGCTGTGAGGCGGCTCTGCTCGGATGTGGAGCTGTTCTGGCAGCCACAGGCCTAGGGTTTGACTTGCTGGAAGCTGGCAAGTGCCAGTTGCTTCCCCCAGAAGAACCTGAGCTACCAGCCCGGGAGGAGAAGAAGAGGCGTGAGGGTCTTTTCCAAAGGGCCAGTCGCCCTCGTCGGAGTACCAGCCCCCCCTCCCGAAAGCTCTTTAAGAAGGAAGAGCCAATGATGTTGCTAGGAGACCCCTCTGCCTCCTTGACCCTGCTGTCTCTCTCCTCCATTTCTGAATGCAACTCTACCCGCTCCCTACTGCGCTCTGACAGTGATGAGATTGTGGTGTATGAAATGCCAGTCAGCCCAGTTGAAGCTCCACCCCTAACCCAATGCACCCACAACCCCTTGGTTAATGTCCGAGTGGAGCGCTTCAAGAGAGACCCCAACCAGTCCCTGACTCCCACCCATGTCACCCTCACAGCTCCCACACAGCCTAGTGGTCACAGGCGGACTCCTTCTGATGGGGCACTTAAGCCAACAGCAGCCCCTGCAGCACTAGGCAGCAGGAGCCCCTCCAGCAACGGGATGAGTCCCAGTCCCGGAGCAGGTGAGTTCTGGACATTTCCCCTTTCCTCCTTGCTTCTTTTCTGGCCCCTAGGAGTAAAGATATTTGTAGGTGGCTCATTTTCTCTCCTTTTACTTCTGGATTCGAATAAGCCCCATTTCTTCTCTTGCTCAACCAAGCAAGAAATACGATATGGGATTGTCCAGGGTTGCCTGGCTCTCTCTGCCCTGTACCATGGGCATCTTCTGACTGCTGGAAGGGGTCAGGCTGGTTAGGAAGAGACAGAAGAGACAGACAAGGGCTTCAATGGCTGCTGAAACCCCGCTCTGGGGGAGGGCGGTGGTTCCAGCATCCAAGGGCAGCTGTCAAGCTCCTGGTTCCATAAAGATCCTGTAGCTACAGTGAAGAAGTCTTCACCACACCTAGGAAGGGTGTTTTCTGCCACATACTTGGGCCCCTGCCATTATAGCATTAGTTCAGACACACACCTAAGGTCAGCTGCCACCCATCCGTCACGTTCTCCATCACTACTTCCTGAGTCACACCTGCCCCTTCACAGCTGGAGACATGTCTAGTAGGTGGCTGTCCACATGTAAAAGCTTGCCTTTAGCAGTTGACCCCATAAACTCTTGTGAATGTGCACTTTCAACTTAGGACTCCCCTGCCCCCAGTCCTTGCTCCCTAAAAGGCCCGAGTCTGGCTGAGAAACACTGCCTACTTAGTCCAGCAAGAGAGAAGCCAAGGTGCTCACGATTGTCAATTGCTGTGTGTGCAACGGTTGTTTCACGCCTTTGTGTGAGTCTTCCTCCTGTAGGTTTCTCTGTTACAGGCTGTGTGACCTTTTTGGGAATAGAAACAGCATGAATCATCTTTACATTTTTGCTACCTAGCTTGTTTGCTGTCATATGGCTATTACATAGATGAACACTGAGCGACAGTCATTCCCTTAAATCAAGGGTCAGCAAACTGTTTTGGGACAGGACAAGATGGTAACTACTTTGGGTTTTGTGAGTTGAA